AGATGCTGCTGGCAGCAATGGTGGCGGCTAGGGGAGATTGCCAACCACCCGCAGACACTGCCAGCGGTTTTGTTGGCGGGGGGCGGGGGTGGCCAGTGGCAATGAACTGCAGCCACCACCAATGGTGTCAGCAGCATATTTTTGTAGGGAGTGCAGCACAGCCACACTCTGGGGGTGCACGTTCACCTACATGCACCCCCTACACGTCACCCCTGAAGTGTATAGACATTCCCTTTTCATTTCAGAAATGCAGGCACATGCCTGCAGTGACTCAGGATAGGGGCTAGGGGGCAGTAGAACAACCCTGCCTTCCCTTGCACAGTGCTGCTCTGAGGGTAGCGTGATCAGGCCCCAGCAGGATGCACCCCTCCCTACTCACCCCTCCCCCAGCAGCCCAGCAGGGAGTTAATAACACAATATTTATCACCCCTAACTCAGTGTTTATCAGCCCATTAAGAAAATAAAAGCTTCTCTCATTAGTTCAAGCTCTTTTTAAACAACTTTTTCCAAGGAAGAAACAGAGGGATGTTACCAGATACATGTTGATTAGCTCCAAAAAGCCCTAAGCTGACACTGTGCTGTCTGCCTTTATCCTGTCTCCCACAGCACAAACCATAGCCAACATGTGGTATGCTAGCTAATGATGAGAGGTGTCTGTGTAAGGCAGAGGAGTGGGGGGAATCCCTGCTTCAGCAGGGAGTGGTGAGAAAGAGGGAGGGAGCAGGAGGAAACCAGGCAGATGCTGCTGTAAATGCATCCCTGTCAGAATGCAGCCAGGGAGCAGAGGGGAGGGGCCAGCCCAGGGAGCAGAGGGGAGGGGCAGAGCCCTATCTAGTTCAGACAGCATGCTGGGATGCTGGGGGACTGTGATTTAACTTAAACCAGGAAGGGGTTTGGGACAGACATTGTATAAATCATTTTGACCCAATCAGTTAAGTCTGATACTAAATTCAACCAGGTTTATCTCAAACTGGTTTCAGCCATTTTCAAACTGGTTTATGTGCACTGAACATCTGTTCTGTTACAGGTTTAAGCCAGTTTCTAATCACTTAAACTGGTTTATGTCTAATGTGTGCCCCTATCCCTGAAGACTAAATAAGCCCAGCTTCCTCAGCCTCTCCTCATGTGCCCCAGCCTCTAACCATTTTCATTGTCCTCCACTGGACTCTCTCCAATTTGTCCACATACTTTCGATAGTTGGGGTGGGGAGGGAAACAAAACTGGATACAGTACTCCATATATGGCCTCACTAGTGCAGAACAGAGGGGAATAATTACTTTCATCAATTTGCTGGCAACACTTCTACTAATGCAGCCCAATATCCCGTTAACCTTCTTGGCAGCAAGGGTACACTGCTAACTCATATCCATCTTATTGTCTACTGTAACCCCAAGGTCCTTCTCTGCAGAGGTGTTGCTACCCAAGCCTGTAGTGATGTATGGGACTCTTCCATCCTAACTGCAGGACTTTACATTTGTCCTTGTTGAACCTTATACGATTATTTTTGGCCCAATCTTCCAATTTGTCTAAGTAAATCTAAATCCTAGTCCTGCCCTCTGATGTATTTGCTACACCTTCTCCCCAGTCCCCATGAACTTGTTGAGGGTGCAGTCCATCCCATCCTTCCAGATCGCTAATGAAGATATTGAACAAAACTGGCCCCAGGACCTACCCTTTGATACCAGTTGCCAATTAGACATCAAGCCAGTGATTACTATCAGTTGAGCCAGACAATCCAGCCAGCTTTCTATCCATTTTACAGTCCTTTCATCCAACCCAAATTACCTGGCTCTGATGTTATATTGGTTGAAATTATGTCATATCTGACAAAGACCATTTAATCCGATATTTCATGGAGGCAGGGGACTGGGAGGAGATAGAGTTGGGTGGACTACATTTGAATTCTGAAGGGTAGTTTGCTCTGTTAAATGCTCTTAATATTTTATTTTGTTTTCATAAGTTCTTTGACTTTTATTATAAGCCACCCTGGCTTATTTGGAGACCTATAAATCTAATAAATAAATAAATACATCAGACTATTTCTGATATGTCCAATTCATCACCAACCACCACCATTGGAGCCAGGGTGTTTTAAACTGTAGATGACTTCACCTATCTCCACTCTATGAATATGAAATTCATACTTATGAGGAAGCTTCAAACCAAAAAATAAGGAACATAAACGTATTTGAGATAGGAGAGGTATTGCAGAAATAAAGGAAAGTCTACAAGGCAGTGGTCCTGATCTCCCCTGTTCATTGACTGTAAACAACCTACAGCCCTCACGTCAAGCAGTTCAATTATTTTTATCAAATTTGTCTGTTAATTCTAGTAAAAATAAGATGGTAAGATAGAACCCAAAATACTGAATTTCATAGATTTGATAGATTTCATAGACATTATTATTCTATGAGTCTACGGACTGATGAGAGGTAAAGCTCTGCTAGACCTGGTACTAACAACCAGGGATGACTTAATCAGTGACCTAGTGATTGAAGGGAAGCTGGGTGACAGTGACCACGAGCTGATCACCTTCACCATGCACTGTAAAGCTGGCAAGTCAGACCATCCACTGTAAAGCTGGCAAGTCAGTCAGTAATACAGAAGTCCTCAACTTCAGGAAAGCTGACTTTGACAAGCTCAGGAGGCTTGTCAGTGAGGTCCTAAAGGGCCACAACCCAAAAGAGAGGGGAGTTTAGGATGAGTGGTTGCTCCTCAAGGGAGCGATCCTGGATGCATAAGCAAAGTCTATCCCATCATGGAGGAAAGGCAGCAAAAGGGCACAGCAGCCCCCTTGGCTCTCCAGGGAACTAGCAGACCTCCTGCATCTTAAAAGGAAGACCTACAAAGGATGGAACACTGGAACCACCACCAAGGAGGAATACTCTGCTCTGGTCCAGCCCTGCAGAGAGCAAACTAGGAAAGCCAAGGCTGCGATGGAACTCTAGCTAGCTACAAATATCAAGGACAATAAAAAGTCCTTTTTTAGATATGTGGGGAGCTGGAGGAAAAGCAAGGGCAACGCTGGACCCCTGCTAAACCAGACGGGACAACTGACAACCGATGCCCAGGAAAAAGCAAACTTGCTAAATGGGTACTTTGCGTCAGTTTTTCACACATCCCATGGTATGCCCCTGCCTACTGCAGGACAGGGAGGCCCGGGTGAGGGAGATTCCTTACCATCCATCAAAGTTGACCTTGTGAAGGAACACCTTGACAGGCTGGATACCTTCAAGTCAGCAGACCCTGATGGTTTACAGCCAAGGGTACTCAAGGAGCTGGCAAGCATCACAGTTCAGCCCCTAGCACAGATCTTTGAGAACTCCTGGTGCTCTGGTGAAGTGCCTGACGATTGGAAGAAGGCCAAAGTGGTGCCTATCTTAAAAAAAGGGAGGAAAGTAGATCCGGCAAACTACAGACCCATCAGCCTGACCTGTATCCTGGGGAAGGTCTTGGAAAACCTGCCTTCCCTTGCACAGTGCTGCTCTGAGGGTAGCGTGATCAGGCCCCAGCAGGATGCACCCCTCCCTACTCACCCCTCCCCCAGCAGCCCAGCAGGGAGTTAATAACACAATATTTATCACCCCTAACTCAGTGTTTATCAGCCCATTAAGAAAATAATAAACCACTGATAAACCACCACTCCAGCAGGAAAAGCTCCAACAGCAGGGAGACAAGCTGTGGTAGTGGGGTAAGCTGTAAGGGAGTCAAGAAGTCTGACACCCTCACTTTGTCCCCCCCACATGTTGCCCCCTTGCCCCCTTTTGGTTCCCCACTCTTTTCTCCAGCCATTGCTTACCCTCAGCTCCAGCTCCAGGCCTGGGCACAGAGCACATGCTGGCTTTGGTCCCCACCTGGCTACACAGCTGGAGTTGCAGCAGCAGCAGCTTCAGCCATAGAACCAGGACCAGATCACAGCTGGAGCAGAACTGGGAACAGAGCTACTGCCAACACTGCCACTGCTGCCAGGCTGGACAGCAGTCATAGCTCCAACTGAGAGTAAGTGGCAATGGCAGGCTGGGTGCAGATGTGGTAGGGAGAAGGCAGCAGCCTGGGGGACAGATGTGGCAGGGGGGCAGTGTGGGATGGAGGGTGTACTGGGGACAACAGCCAGAGACAACCCAAGCAGGATGCGGGGCCCTGACCCTGGACGTGAGGCAGCTGGCAGCAGTGAGCAGGGGGTGCCGAGTGGCCTGACATGAAGCTGGCAGCAATGCGGAGTTGCCACAGATGCTCCACCCAGCTCCGCGGGGCCTCCAAAGCATGGGGTCCAGAGCAGTCACCCCAATTTGCTGCCCCCAGCGATGGCCCTGACTACAGCTGCAGATTCAACCTCAAGCCCTTGCCAGAGCCCGAGCCAGAGGTGTAGGACCTGCCTGCCCTCCTTCATCTTATATACAAATACAAGACGAAGGGCTTTCCCCTAATGTTGGAGGGGAGCGGGGGGGTCATCTTGGATTCTAGTAATAGCATATGTGCAGGCACCAAGTGCTGAAAATTTTCTGTGGAACTGTCTCCCACTGGTATTGCCAAGAGCAAAACTTTTTGTAGAAATGTGTTTCCCAAAATTTCAAAGGCAAAGCATCAAATGAATCATTACCACTTTCTCATTTCAGTTTAATGATATGAAAATGTTTCCTTTGATAAGAGCAACACTCCTACCCTACTATTTTGATAAGGTAATATATTTAAATTAATTTCATTTAATTTCATTTTGTTACATTATTCATTTTGATATTATCTTATAGGTACCTGATTATACATGCAACATAATGATTTTGCATGCTCAAAATGAAATTTTTCAACTTAAACAAATGATACATCTTTAAAAATGAATGAACATTTTCTAAATGAAATCTTTTGATGTTTCTGAATTGAATTTGAAAATTCTATTCTGAAATAAATTTTTAAAATGTCAATATTTATTCCAACTTGGAATGAAAACACTTGGCAATAAATTAAATTATATTATTACATGTATTAAGTTTTGCATGACTTACCCAAGAAATATATTTCTGCACTGCAGATTGTCTCAGCGCTGTGGATAAGTTGTAATCTTCAGAACTATGATGTGTTTGGTGTGTTGCCCATAATATATTCACCTCTGGAAAAAAATGCATAATTTCTTTTAAGGCACAGAAGAGAAAAAAGCAACAATTTTTTTCCTCATGACATATATAAACTACATTTTCTGTCTGTCTGTGTCTAGAGTCTATTCTTCACTGTTACTCTTTCTGAGCAAACTGACAAAACAGCAGAAGCTATGATGGAGTTATGGCTTGAGCTGTACAGTTTGCATGGAGAAAGTGAGTGATCTGAGCAATAGACTCCACTCCTCCATTTGGCCTAGGAAGGGAAGTGAAGACAGCACAGCCCCCAGCAGCCATTATAGTATCCCTAGGTTCCAGCATGGAAATCAGCTTCCTTGCTTAAAATATACACCCCAATTTGGACTACCTGATTTTGGGGGAAAGGTGTGTGAAGTGTGCAACTAAATATGTATATAGCTAAAAGCAATCAAAATTACATTTTACTATTGTACTATAATATAGCATGCCCTAAACATGAAACCTCAAGGTTGAATTTACGCAATCCAGATTAAACAGGTAGAAGAGGACATAAGTGAGAGAAACCCATACACTGAGGAAGTTGTAGGGGAAGTCTGTAGAAGGGAATAAAGCCAAGTGGAAAGTTGCAATAAGGTGTGAAATGAATGGTCAGGAAACCTGAAGTTAGAAGTGTACTCATACCTAACTATTTTATGCTTAAAAGTACAACATAGTTGTTGATGATTATTTATGCACAAGATCTTTTGAGCTCACGTAGAAATGTAAAGTATATGACACAACCATTGTCTGTGTACTAAAGGTGACTGGAAAAAACACATCATTATTTTGCCTGGGACCTTTCAGTCTAGCCAAAGAATAAAGGTTGGGGTACTAAATTATGGTATAGAAAAGATTGTGGGGTAGGTAGGAAGTTTCTGTAGGTCAGATGCCACAATGAGATGACACTTCTGGCTTGCTGCTTACTTAGGGAGGTGTTTTTCTGAATTCTCTCACACTACCCCAAGTGAATTCCAGGGTACTTTTTTTTTTTTTAATACAACACTGGGTGGTCGTATTGCTATGAATTTTGAAAATCTAAAGATAATCTTGAGTGGGAGATTATCAAAAAGAAAAAGGAAGCTAAATTTTGTCATGGTCATGAGATATAGCTAGGGGTTTTGAGGAAGTTCTTAATTATACCACAATGAGAAGGTGGGTGGCTAATAGAGTCCCATAGGGAGCCTTCTAAGGTTGCGAGTAAACTGAAGGTCATATATGTTGCAAGAGGTGAAATTTACATAAAGTCTCAGCTGATATTGAAACAGAGAGCTGACTGGCTGACAGCCAGTAGACCTCTCCCCACTAGAGAGTGATATGTTTCACCAGAACAATTAGGAAACTGCCCTTGGCAGATATTAGGACCCCTTTCACAACAGTCATGTTACAAATGTATATTCAAAGCCTTGATATTATCTTGTGCCAAAATAATGTCAACTAGCTTAAGACTGATGATTAACACATACTTGTAAAGTAAACTGATGCCAAATAAAATACTTTAATGAATCTCAAGGTGTCTTCATCATTTAAGGGACTAAAGAAATAGCTAACTGTCTTGTATGCTAGAAATTACAATTTCTGTAACTAATGAATAGTGACAGTTTAATAATTTATGAGGCAACTTCATCATTTCTGTGTGTCCTCTAAGTCGTTGAAAATCCTTACAATAGCTCTTAAAACTATAATTTAAGATACCTATCAAAAAAAAAAATCAAACCACGCTTAACACTCAGTTTGTGAAGCTTTTCTTCCCTGAATTCCTTTCCTAAAGTAACAGGCATATTCTATACCTAGAATTAGCAACCCTCAGAAAAAAAAGACTAGCCTAATGAGCTTAGTAGGAGATGAATTATTCAGGTGAGCTTCAATACTGGGTAATGATTTGTATTTGAAATGCTTCCCAAGACCTCAACAGAAGCTAAATGAGTGAACAAAGCATCTAAAAAGGTGGAGGTTAAAGACTTGTCTCCTTAGTTATTTTAAAAGCATTTACTTCCTATCACAAACTGTGTGTAACACAAGCCTTCACTCAATGAAGTACAGCTGTACAAACAGAGTACAGTAACTGGATCTTGCTTCTTTTCCTCAGTCATTTTTCAGCATTGTGAAAAGTTCAAGGAAGGGAATGTGATGATTTTTACAGTCTACGTTAATCCTAGTTAAGGTCAAAAGATTTTCAAAATGAATTACTAAAAAAAGGTGTTTAGTTGCATTCAATTTTCAATGAAAATGCCTCAGTCAAATGAGAATAAGCTAATTCCCTATTAATAAATATGATACTTTTCTCAAAATTTCTCTAAATTGATAGTCACATAGGTAAAGTATCAATGCAGGAGGAAGGTATTAGGAAAGCAAACAAATAAATACTACTGATATTGTTTATCTGACATAATTCAGTCTCTAAAAATATTTTCTGGTCTTTATTTTACAGTCAATAACAATCTTTAATCCTAATTTTACTGAAAGTAATGGAAAAATTCACTTAGCATTCACTGCTAGCAGGAACAGAGTTTATAGTTCAGGCTAAAAACTGATATTGCATTTGAGGTGTTTCTAACTGATGCCAGTCAAGACCTGGGACAAAAGAAGAGCAGCATAGCCCTTTCAGCACATAGCTTGTCCCTGGAATGAATGACAATTTACTCAAATGAGCCATGATTGTCCCTGGAAAAAGTATGCTAACATTTTATCTTGCATATTTCACAGGTACTTAAACTGGGACAATAGGCTTGTACATCTGTAGGGTCCCAGGACAAAAAATAAAAGCTCTCTCCTGGGCAAAATGTGACTTTGGTTTTCAGCCTAAAAGTACTTCTGCCCTAATTATTTTATCTTAGTATACTAAGTACCAGTAATATTCAGGATATATTTTTACTTGAAGCAGCAGAATATTGACATTATGCTCTCTAATAAATGAACCAAATGAATATTGAAACTGAACCAGGGTTCTAAACTCATCCCAAAAATTAAGCTAGGAATTATGCCCATGTTTTTAAACATAACTTTTAGCCATTTCCAATGTTACCTCTAACTAACAGCAATTATAAGCTTGTACCTACTTAGAGTCTAGATCTATCTTCTATGCTGCACCAAAAGATAACAGTAAAACTGGATGGGTGGGATGTTATGGACTGTATTAGTATTGTCATATTTTTTGCAACATTTATTATGGATTTGCAATTATGAATTTGAAATTTTGAGAGACAGTGCCAAACTCTTTATATTGCTTTAATATAGGCCTGAATAATGGGAGTTTTGCCTCAGTGTTTGTCCTCATATTTGAAAAAAATTTTTAAACAAAAATATATTCTGTTTTATATGAATGGGTGAATGGGAAGGAAAAGACTAGTCTTATAGACAATGAATTATTGTGCAGTAAGGACCTGAAACTCCCACTGAGTTAAGCTGGAGCTTTACCCTGCTTTGAACTGCAGGACTGCAAGTTCTAGGATGCAGCATGAAAGACAGTAAACAAGGAATAAAAACCATCACTTAAAGCAAACAGAACTTACAGTGGTAACTAAATAAAAAAGTCTGAGTACAAGGATCTTGATACACCTTACTGAACAAATGTTTATCAGCTTAGTGTTGTTCAGCTTAGTTAAGCAGTTACACCTTGAGGGCTAGGGACAGACATTCAAAAAGCCTGAGCCTGAATCGATGAAATCTTTACAGGTTAGTCTACTCTGGCGAGGCTGAACAGGTTTGTAACCAGACATAGATTCTCTCTGGACTGAGGAAATTCAGGCACATGCCTACAGTGGATCAGGCTAGAAGCCAGGGTGTGCTTGAGTAGCCCTCCTTTCCCTTCCATAATGCTGAGCTGAGGGGGGCATGGCCAGGCCACAGCAGGATGTTCTGATTAGGAAAGTCCACCTGCAGCATCCCAGGCTTTTCCTTGTTGGCTGCTCAAGGGGTGGGGTGTTGCCAGACCCCAGTCGCCTGCTAGCACTCTGAGGCAAGAGGAGGTGCGCAATGCATGCATCTGTTGATGATACAGAGCTTTTCAATCTCCGTCTCTGCTTCTTTATACGGTCTGCAGCAAACTAACAGGCGAGTAAGCCAGCAGGGAGCTGATAACAGTGTTTATCACCCCATCAGCAAAACAAGAGCCTCTCTCCATTAGTTCAAACTCTTCTTAAACAGCTTACCAGCTCACCTGTTGATTAGCTCCAAAATGTCCTAAGCGGTCACTGTTCTGTCTGCCTGTCCCAGTGAAATTGGCCACACACATACTCAGACAACTCTCGGCATTAGCCAGCATACCGTATACCTAGGGTCCACAGGGCTGGGGTCTGTGCTGTGGGAGATGGGAGGAAGGGGGGAGGAGATTCCTACTTGAGCAGTGAAGGGGGAGCCAGGGCAAGGGGAAGCCAGACAGACCCTGCTGTACCTGCAACCTCTGCTGGAGCTCCAACCAGGGAGCAGAGGGGAGGGACCAGCTCTGCTGTGGAGCAGAGCCCTGCCCCACCCAGAGAGCATTCTGGGATGCTGGGGAAGTCTTGCAATGTCTGTCCCAGCAAGGGGTCTGGGGACAGACACTGCATAAACCAGTTTGAGCTAAATCTGTTAAGTTTGATACTTACTACATTCAACCAGGTTTATTTCAAACTGGTTTCAGCTATATGCAGACTGGTTTATGTGCATGGAACATCTGTTCTATTAGAGGGTTAAACCAGTTTCTGATCACTTAAACTGGTTTATGTGTAATGTCTATCCCTAGCCAAGGTGAAGAACCATCTCTGATGAGACTGTGACCGTCCTTTACCTGCACAGCTGCAATTTGCCACTTGAGGCTTGGTGAGCAGGGGCAGAACTAGGAGCCTATAAATAAAATGTTTCCTACTGCAAACCAAGCCAGTGCTGTCAACCACAATGTTTTCACTTTTTGTGTGTTTCTTTTTAAGTCAGATGTATATATTGGCATTGGCTGCAATACCAATAAATACACTAAGGGCAGAACCAGCACTGCAGCCCCAAAGTGCCCAGTGACTGCAGT